TGGTTAACCCTTACTACATTGTAACAGCTAAGGCAAAGCACCCATCAACGTGAGTGATGTTGAGTTGGCCACGCTCACCCAATCACATGTCCACCAAGCCCTGCCTACCTAGCTGGTCATTAGGACATAGAACCGGTTGTTAAATTATTTGAATCCCACCACTGGTTGAGACTCTGGAAAGAGCGAAGAGAAGAGCAACAAAAATGATTAGGGGGCTGCAGGCTGAAACATATGAAAAATGTTGCAGGAATTGGGTATTCTGGTGAAAAGAAGGACCAAGGCTGACATGACAGCAGTCTTCCAATATTTGAGAGAAGAAGAAGCAGTCAACCTATTTTCCCAACACCAGAAGGCAGGACAAGAATCAATGGATGGAAACTAATCAAAGAGATATCCAACCTAGAAATAAGGAAAAATTTCCTGACAGTGAGAACAATTAATCAGTGGAACAACTCGCCTCCAGAAGTTGTGAATGCTCCAACACTGGAGACTTTTAAGAAGATACTGGACAGCCATTTGTCTGGAATGGTGTAGGGTCTCCTGCTTGAGCAGGGATTGGACTAGAAGACCTTCAAGGTCCCTTCCAACTCTGTTATTCTGTTATATCTGATCCCACTACTTACCAATCCACCAAACATGATAAAATTGATTGATTCCATCGATTTCATCTCCAACTCTTATTTGATATTCCTTATAAATCTTTGACAATTTAAGAAATTGTGCATGATACTCTGATTATGCTCCGGTTAATCAAATTGCTCCTAAACTCTGTGAGATCAGAATTTATCAGCTATTATTAGAGCTCTCTAACCCTAATGGGAACAGATTCACTTGTGGTCCTCTGCCTGCTTGTTGGCTAACTGAAGGGGAGAAATGTAGAAGCCCTCATTGCTATTACTCACTTTATGGCAAATGTAACCATGTCCCTGAGCTTTATACATAACCGAGAACCTAGTGTCCACACTGATGTGCAAAACTCATGGGAAGTTAGAATAAATGAACACACATCACCCATTTTCCCATGCATTTATTAAACATGAAGAGGGCACAATGGCTCAGTGATTAAAGATGCTGAACTTGTTTGTAAAGCTTACCATCTGGGTTCGAGACCCGAGTGCTGTGCGATGGGGGTGAGCTCCCGTTCCTTGCTCCAGCTCCAGCAGTTCAAAAGCATGAAAATGCGAGTAGACAAATGGGTACCACTTCAGTGGGAAGGTAACAGCGTTCCATGTGCCTCAGCATATAATCATGCTGGTCACATGACCACGGAAAGGGTCTTCGGAGAATGCAGACTCCCTCAGCTAAGAAACAGAGATGAGTGGCGCCCTCTAGAGTTAGACACAACCTTACCTTTTATTGGACATGTGGATGAGTTCATCTGAACAACACAGAAACAAGGCAGAAAGCATGAAGAGTAGCTGTGCCTCTGAGCTGCTCTGTGCAATCAGGAACCTACTGATCACGTTGATGTGCAAAACTCATGGGAAGTTAGAATAAATGGGCACACATCATCCAATCTTCCATGCATTTATTGAACATGTGGATGGACTCATCTGAACCGTACCAACACAAGGCAACACCCCCTCCCATTAATGTTTGTGCATGTGTTGTGGTTGTCTCATTCCATTTTCAAAACTATTTATATGTAACTCTAGAAGTAAGCAAACACTTTACAAGAATCAAGAACCCATGACATTCTGGATATTGTGTTAGATGCCTTCTGAATTTAAACACGTTGCCGTACAGTTTTATACCAGAGGTGGTATTCAGCCAGTTCTGACCAGTTCTGGTAGTGGAAATTTTGAGTAGTTTGGAGAAGCGGCAAATACCACCTCTGGCTGGCCGCGCCCCATCTATTTGCTGCCTCCTGAATCCCAGCTGATCGGCTGGGTCTTCTTTTGTTGCCCTGGACAGGAGAATGGAGCTGGAAAGCAGGTTAGTGGGGTGGGGAGGGAATGGGGATTTTACAGTATCCTTCCCTTGCCACACCAACCAAGCCATGCCCATAGAACCGGTAATAAATTTTTTTGAATCCCACCACTGTTTTATACCTTCTCTTGCATGATCTAACCCTCCCATTTAGATTTCCTGCAGAAAAACACTCTCCACGTCTCAACTTCACAGGGTTTTTTCCCTGGGGACCCCAAGGTGCAGTCCCTAAGGATGATCCAGGGGTGAAACCCAGCAGGTTCAGACAGGTTCTGGCGAACCGGTAGCGGAAATTTTGAGTAGTTCGGAGAACCGACAAATGCCACCTCTGGCTGGCCATGCCCCTGTCTATTCTCTGCCTGCCGAGTTCCACCTGATCAGGAGGAAATGGAGATTTTGCAGTATCCTTCCCCTGCCATGCCCACCAAGCCACGCCATGCCCACCAAGCCATGCCCACAGAACCAGCAGTAAAAAAATTCAAATTTCACCACTGGGTTGATCCCACTGCTGTTTCTTTGTTAGCTTTCAGCCGCAGAGTTAAAGCAGTTCTTGAGCTTCTGTTAGACTCGCTGTATTTTTCTTTCGTGATTATTCGTGGTGACTGGTCAGGTTCCTTGGCACAGCCCAAGAGCAATTCTTTCTCAGGCACCAATCTCAAGCTGCCACTTTAACAAGATTTATTAAGACAAAAAGAAATGTTGTTTATTAAGAAGTCCAGCAACTTCCAATTTAAGAACAATACAACTTACAGCCACAACTGAGACCAAGATTTCTGGTGCTAAGCAGGATAGTTTGTGAAGTGAGTTTTGCCCCATTTTGCGACCTTTCTTGCCACCGTTGTTAAGTGAAACACTGCAGTTGTTAGGTGAATCTGTCTTCCTTTTGGACTTCTGCTTGTCAGGAGGTCACAAAAGGGGATCACATGATCCCAGGGACACTGCAACCGTCATAAATGCACGCCAGTTGCCAAGTGTCCGAATTTTGATCACATGACCACAGGGATGCGGCAATGGTCGATAAGTGTGAAAAATGGTCATAAGTCACTTTTTAGTGCCGTTGTGACTTCAAATGGACACTAAATAATGGCTGTAAATTGAGAACTACCTGTAGAGTTTATTTGAATGTTTTTTTTTTAAATACGCTTTTTCTCTTTTCTCTTTTACAAACATATCAGTGGTCTGAATAGTGAGTCTCATACATTTCACACTAGCAAATTAGTATTGATCACATTTGCTTCATTTAACAAGCTTATATAATGCTAATAGTAATACACATCTTTATATTAAATTGTAATCTTTCATTGTTGGGTTATTCAGTATTTCAATATGTTTTTTTTATACCAGTCATACTTAATTATCATACCTTTTAATATGAGTAAAATATTAGCAATCATATTTGTTTCACTTAACAAACTTAGGTAACTAATATTAATCCCAACATTTATATTACATTAAGATCTTCCATTATTGCTTATTCAACATTTTATTTGGTTATTCAGTATTTCAATATGTTTTTTTTATACCAGTCATACTTAATTATCATACCTTTTAATATGAGTAAAATATTAGCAATCATATTTGTTTCACTTAACAAACTTAGGTAACTAATATTAATCCCAACATTTATATTACATTAAGATCTTCCATTATTGCTTATTCGAGTTGTCGTTTAGTTATTCAATATTTCAATCTATTTTTTATATCACATTCTGCTCCTGCATCTGGATCAATCTATGGCCAACCTATCTATTTTAGATTGGAAAAGCGCCGTTGTTTCCTTCGTTGAAATATTCATATCACATTTTCCTCCCACAGCATTTATGAACAGTGGCTCCGGAGACACAAACCCCAGCTTCAGGCCTACCCCGAGGCCAACGCTCCTATTGGACACAACCGGGAATATTTCATGGTCCCGTTCATTCCTCTCTATAGGAACGGGGAATTCTTCATTTCATCCAAGGAATTGGGCTACGACTATGAATATCTCGTGGAACCAGGTAATCTGACCCCCTCATTCTAAGGAGGACCAGTAGAGGCAAGGTAGTTGGCATTTCTGTGCCAGTCTTTATTTTGATGTTTTGGCTCAGCCGGACTCTCAGAGATAAGATCCCATGGAGAAGCATAATACGGGTAGTCCTCAATTTGTAGCTTTTCACTGAGTGACTTTTCAGCGTTCCCTAAAAAAAAAAAAGCGACTTACAAGTGATGCTGGGTGTTTGAATGTTGATCACGTAACCATGAGGATGTGGAAACGGTCACAAGCATGATGCCAAGGTTCTAAGTAATACATCCCTTTCAACAAGCACTCTGCTGTCTCAACTGGTCTAGGCCAGCCTGTGCAGCAATAATAGCAATAGCAGTTAGACTTATATACTGCTTCATAGGGCTTTCAGCCCGCTCTAAGCGGTTTACAAAGTCAGCATATCGCCCCCAACCATCCGGGTCCTCATTTTACCCACCTCGGAAGGATGGAAGGCTGAGTCAACCCTGAGCCGGTGAGATTTGAACTGCCGAACTGCAGAACTGCAGTCAGCTGAAGTAGCCTGCAGTGCTGCACTCTAACCACTGCACCACCTCAGCACAGGAAATGCTCAGGAACCTCTATTTGCGAGTAAACCTCTGAGCTTTATTCGTGCTACGGACTAAGACTTTAGCACACAACGAGTTCAGATAACTAAATAAAGCCAGCACTGGGAGCCTCCACCTTCCAACGCCTCTTATAGGGTCCCAGTAGCCCCCATCCAGTACTGCTCCCTCTAGCAGCTGATTTCCCGTTGGTTGGTTCAAGCAGCCACCATCCAGTGTTGCTCTCTCTCGCAGATGATTGCAGGAGTGCATTGCAGTTAGATCAAACAGCCCACCCAGCTGCGCAGCGCAGCACTGGTGCAGCGCAGCGCTGACGTGACATTATCAGCCAGTGACGCCTCCAGTAATCGCCGGCGTTAGTCCCTTGCAGCTGCTTCAGATCTCTGCAGGGTCTGCAGACTCTGTCGCAATGGAGGTAACTGCTCTGGAGGCCACCCATAGTCAATCTCCCCCCCCCCTCACCACCACAGGTAATGACGAGCCTCGGACTGGGGCTCCACATGATGTCAAGGTTCGAAGTAATACATCCTCTTCAATGAGAACTCTGAGACAGGTATATTCCCCAAAGAACATTTTAGGGGGACATATCAACTTGGCACAGTCTTGGTGGAAAACAGGCTCTAAGTTCCCGCCTGTTTTATATCCAATTAGCAATAGCAATAGCAATAGCAGTTAGACTTATATACCGCTTCATAGGGCTTTCAGCCCTCTCTAAGCGGTTTACAGAGTCAGCAT